CATATATCGACATATCTATCAGGTCACAGTTGGGAAATTGCTTTTTGATGAGAGGAAAAATGGATAGATGGTGAGATCAAAACTGTTAGATTAAATAGAGTATACATTTTACTATCCATTCTTGGCTTGACTATATGAACAGAGACTTCAGGAGCCTCTGAAGAAAGGTGTGTCTCTGGCTATTGCTAAGAGGTGAGCTAAGTTTTAGGTAACACAGGTTGAGGTCGGAAGTGCTCTAAGTTTGTAAAAACTGTGTGTGGACAAGGAGCAGTACCTTTAAAGAGGTAAATAAGATAGGTTTGCATCTAGGATTGTAGTCGAGAGATTTTTATTAAATCTAAGAGGTACTTGTATAACTTAATGTCATGGCAGAAATCACTTAATTTCCAGCAACTGAGGTTGTCTGATGGTATCTTTGACTCCTTCAGCAGACACTGAAGGACCTTTTTTGCCTTGACCAATCAGTTGTTAACATGGTCATTATAGTGTTCCTCTAAGGAGGCTCTTTGCTCTCTGTTGGCAGAGCTTTGCCATTTCTGTAAGTGAACTGTGCTGCCCTTGCTAGTGGATAGAGTGAAGATTGCCACCATCTGCCCAGGCAGCTTTCGTATGTTTTATTAGCTAGGGATATATGGTCCAGAGTCAGTCTGCTGCTGTTGCCACCTGCCCAGCAGGAGGGGATGGGATTAGTTTGACTGCTACTAGATACTGCCTTTAGCAGGGCCAGGAAGCTCAGCCTCTTTTTGCTCTGTGTAGGTTTTTATACTTTGATCACTTTGTATAGTTTGGACAGTTGGTCTCTGCATTCAGATGTCAGCTAAATGCCACAAATAATGAAGTTAATAGTAGCCTTCAGTTTAGGTCATTTGTGCTGTGGGCTGATTAATGAAGTAGGACTGGGAGAGAGGGAGGAAGAGAAATGACAGTGTTGGTATCTCATGCGTGCCAGGCAGTTGGATATTCCTTTTAATTTCCCACCTACTTTTTTGGAGGTGGAATTATCCCTATTTTACAAAAAAACTGATGCTCTAAGTTAAGTGTTAGAGCCAAGAATGAAGGCCAGGTCTTTCCAGTGCCAAAGCCTCTTATTATACCACCAAGCTTTATGGATGAAAGGGACAGATTGTGCTAGAATCCAGGCCTACTGACTTGAGGTTGTTCCGGACCAGGTGTCCTGGCCTAAAGTAAGGATGTTTTCTTTTAGATTAATGATGAAGAACTATCTGATAAACTAGAAAGATAGGTTGGAAGACTGCAGAGTGGCTGTATAAACAGAGGAAACTTTTGTATTTAAAGCTTATTTTTTGTTTGGATATCAGTGTAAAAGTGAGGTACATATTTTCACTTAGCTCATGTTTTCTGGGTGCACGGTATCTGCCTGGTCTGAAATATAGGTGTGGGGATGTCTTAAAAATTTTAAGCCATACTCTAAAGACAAGCTGGTGAGGCTTTGGCTCATTTGGTACAAGGAAGAGGCATGAAGGGGCAGCAGCCCAGGTGTTGGGTGTAAGTGCAGGGAGGTGTCCTTGGGCAAGTATTTGGCAGAGAAGGGCAAGTGACAGACTGCAGAGGTCAGTTCTCACTGCCAGGAGTTTGCCATAGAGTAGGTTTCAGAGCAGGTTCCCATACTGGAGTTTGCATCTCTATCTAAGTTCAGCCGGTGCTTTATAAAGCCATGCTTGGATGGCTTTGGGTTCTCCAAATTGTGGTATGTGAGTCACTCTGTTGAGCTTGTTTGATTCTCCCCCTGTTGCAGACCACTTATTCAGCTCCTTTGCTGATTATGCTAGCTGGATCTCCACTTAGGGGTGGGTGCGTAGGGATGAGGATGGGTACAGAATTCTTTTCAGGGAAAGATTCCTCATCTACTCCAAGTCATCATCTTCCTTGGCAGTTGGCATTTTTTCTGAGCACCCTGCCCTAATCCTGGAGGGGAGCAGGAAGAAAGAACCTTCTTTGAAACTCAGGTTGTCAGGGTCTAGAGCACTGTGTAAAGGAGAGGAGTGCCTGGCATTTATGGATATAATATTCTGTAAAACCCTTTCCTGCTCATTATTTAATTTCCTACTCTACTGGTAGAATCTTACAGAAATAGCAGTGCATGGATGATTGTTTCCACTCTGCAGACAGGGAAATTGAAGCCCAGAGATGTCGCCAAACCACCCTGGTTGTGGCTCGTAATTAGTTTTTAACCACACAGAAGAAATAACATTTCTTATACTATTTTTATAGTTAACAGAAGCTCTTTGTTAACTTAGGGATCAGTTTTGAACACCACCAAAACCATGGGATCTAGAAATTTTCTTCTTTTACAGATGAGGAAATGGAGGCTTGAAGTGCCTTGCCTCAAATTATATAGCTGTAAGTGGCAGAGCACACATATTCTGACTGCACTGTGCTCAGCACTGGTGGTTTGAATTACTAGTCTAGACTGATGATGTCTGTCCTCTTTTCCAATCTCATTTAGCAACATTGTCTTTTCCTCTCTGTGATGCATTCTACTCGTAACCTTTCTCCCAAACTTCTGGGCCATGTCCTACCTGGCTTGAAGCAAAACAAGCAAAAATAACCCACTTCTCCCTAACTCTTCTCCAGTGGTGTCCCCCCACCCTCCCGATTTTCCAGTTTTATTTTCTTGTTTCTTTGAAAGAACTATTAGTTTGCTCCTGGGCAAGATGACCAGTTGGTCACCTGTGGGCTGGGAAGCCTGCTTTTTTTTTTTTTTATCAGCTGCACAATTGGGTCTATTTCTAAAAACCATCTTTTTGTACTGTAAGTGAGCCCTCTGTGAAGTACAAGTTCGGTCATTTGGAGAGCTGCTCAGGGGTTGGAAGGAAGGAAGGGTAATGTGTAGTTGGAAATGTGCTCTTTCTATTCAGCCTCACCTGTATTTTAGTTGTTGGCTACAATCCATTCCTGGTTAGACCTTCAACATGTGCTCTAACCAAAGGGGTCATCATCACAGAGATACACTTTCCAAAGCCAGAATCCACTTTTTGATGCTGGGATCTCCTTGGGTCCTTCCATCATGTGGTCTCATAAGTCATTCAGCTTTCTAAAATCTCTCATGTGCTCAGAGGTTATAATAAGGGACATATGGTAGGCATTATGGGGGAGGTGAAAAACTTCTGGAAGTTGAACCTGAGGAACTTAAGAAAGCTGAAGGGAACTTGAATGACATCAGTCATTCAGGATGTCTGAGGCTAGTGAAGGGAAGAATATGCATACATCCATCAGCTATTTTATGAGATTGTATTTATTTACTGAGTGTAGCAGGGTAAAGACAATTCTGAGAAACCAGTTGGCTAAAGTATGCCTCCCATGACGTTAGAGCTGCTTTGGGAGCACAAGTGAGGGGAGAAGTGAGCTCCGTGTTGCTCGGGATGTTCAAGGAAGAAACCAGTTGTTTGGATAGTGAAGAAAAATTCCTCCATGAGATGTCAGCTTGGATTGAACTCTGATGTGATGGCTGACATTGCCAAGGCCACATCTCCCTTCTTAGGCACATAGGTTTTTTTAAAGAAAATATTCACTGTCACCTGCTCTTTTTACCAGGTTCTGTGTTAGAGGAGGAGAGGTTGTTGAAAATACCAAGATTTTTAGCTCAGACAACTGAGTAGGTGATACCATTGGCCCAGATGGAGTGTATAGATAGGAAGCAGATGAAATATGCTCAAGGGATTTGAACAGAAAGAATAAGAGTTATTGGGTGGCGCCTGTGGCTCAGAGGAGTAGGGCATCAGCCCTATATACCGGAGGTGGAGGATTCAAACCTGGCCCCGGTCAAAAACTGCAAAAAAAAAAAAAAAAAAAAAAAAAAGAATAAGAGTTATCTTCTGTGGTGGGAGAAATGCTCTAGCAGGCCTGCCCCTTCCTGACTGGGATATTACTCTCTGTTCTGGGCTGGTAGCCGGCAGGCCCAGTCTAGGAATGGAGCCAGGCCTCTGAAAAGAGTGACTTGTGCTCACAGAAAGAGAAGAAAGAGAGTTGAGTAACTTACAAAGAGTTATAGGGGCACTGACAGAAATGATCCAGACTTCCCAGGGAGATGGATGAGGGTTTGCCTGGTTGATGAGTGGGGAGGGGTCTCCAGAGGGGAGGTCAGCTGACTCAACATGTACACAGTTGATAGCCACCTCATGAAAGAAAGGCCCTGGATGCCCCTCCCATCATCCAGTTGAGTAAGAGAATTCTGGGGGGTTGGACAGTGGAGGGCCAAAGAGGACTGATGAGGAAGAGGCTGTTGTAAATGCCCAGGTGAGGGATGAGTTTGGCTGATGAGCTCAGCAGAGTAATGGAGGGGCAGGAATAGAGTCTGCTGGACTGGGGGTAGAGGGCCGAAGACACCTAGCCCAGGGCCAGGGAACAATAGTACCCAGGGAGGGAAGACTGCCTGAGCACTGCTCCTAGACCACCATTCACGGGCAGTGCAGAGAACAGTGGTGCCTCTGAACAAGATGGGGAAGACAGGAAGGGAGGGGAGGGTCCTGACCAGGTGCAGAGGAGTTAAAATGTAGCAGGGCCATCTCCATTGGGCTAGTAAATGGGACTCTGGTGAGTGTGTTGGGTGCTGTCTAGGAAGCCTCTTCATTGATGGTGGAGAGGCTTGCAGCCTGTCAGTCAGCATAGTAGACCTGATGATGTTTTGCTTGGTTGGGAGAGTAACAGGTGTTCGGCCATTCATACCCAATTTTTCTGCTCTACAGAAAAATGGTCTTTTATTTTAAAAAAAAAAAAAAAAAAAACCTGGACAAGACCTGGAACTCATTGGATTTAGCATCTGTGGAACTAGTATTTGGCCATTGGGAAGGTAGAGGCTTTCTCCCCCTTTTTTGGAAGCAGTCTTGCTCTGTCACTTTGGCTAGAATTCAGTGGTACCATAGCTCACTGCAACCTCAAAATCCTGGGCTCAGTCTACTGAGTAGCTGGGACTGTAGGTATGTACCATCACACTCGGTTGAGTTTTCTATTTTTTGTAGAGATGGGGTCTCATTCTTATGATCATTCCACCTTGGTCTCTCAAAGTGCTAGGATTCCAGGTGTGAGCTACTGGGCATGGCCCAGACTTTCTTTACACAGTTCTTCAAGGAGGGAAACAGACATGAAATTGTGAGATTACTTTAGGATTTGCTTTGGGTCTCATTTTTGTCTTTCTCAGTCCTGCCATCTCTACTTTGTCATGGACAAGTGGGCAGGGAGTCGCAAGGAAGAGTCAGGTGGGTTTCCCTCTTTTCTATCACTTCTCGGGCACTAGGGCTCATGTCAGCTTGGTATTGAGCCCTTGTTTTAGAGCTTCAATAAGGTTAAAGGCATACTGAGTTGGTGATCTCATCAGTTTCTGGGTGCTGGCAGTCCAGTGACATCTGTCTCTTCACGATGAGTGGTCTTGTTCATTACCCCAGCAAGCCACACAAATCTTACCTCTTCACATGTGTGTCAGCAAACCTTTTCTGTAAAGGTCCAGACAGTAAGCATTTCAGGCTTTAAGTCTGCCATAGTAGTACAAAAGCAACCACAGAACATGTGTAAGTAGATTATAGAACACATGACTATGTTCTAATAAAACTTTATTAACTAAAAATAGGCTATATTTTGCCAATTCCTGCCTTAGACTGTAGAGATAACTTAACTTTTGGCTTAATCATGACTAGAAACTTCTTCCTTTCTGTCTCCTGGATCCATCTGTGTTCCCACAGAGACATCTTGTCTGTATGAACAGTGAGTGGAATTTAGGTTTTGAGTGACAGGTGGGGCTTTGAAACAGGAGATTGGTGGCTGAAGAGCAAAATACAGTACAGGGCCAGGGAAGTCTGGATGATAGGGCTCAGAGAGAAGGGCTGAAGGTGAATTAGGAAAGCCCTGGGAAGGAGGCAGCTCTGGAACATTCTTAGAGGAGGCATGTCCAGGAAGGGGAATAGGCCCAGAAAGATGGCTGAGATGGTGTTGAACACTGAGAACCTCTGTATGGTTTCACAGGTATGTGGGGGTCCGCTTGTGGAGGGACTGGAGTGCCAGGTCTCAGGAGCATGGCACTGGGAAGCCATTGGATGGTTGTGTTCAGGAGAGTAAAGTGATTACAAATGCATTTTGGAAATGTCACCCTGGTCATAGAAGGACCACGTCTGTAGTTATAAATTATATTTTTCAGTTTAGTCTGGACTTTAGTAAAAAGATTAGTTATTCTTGGTACTATAGTGTGAGAGGCCCAGAGAGTTGGATGGTTTTTCTTACCACTGGTTTCACCCTGCCTTTGACATGACAGAACATGAAAAAATCTTCCATCTTCAGGCTTTGTCTCTCCTGCTATGAAACATTGCTTCAAACCTAATTTTGGCTTGGGGCCTTTAGTGTATAAGGGTAAAGTGGTGGGGACAGGCTGCCCCTTGCTCCACAATCAAGCCACACTGCAAGAAAGCTTTATGGAGCAGATTCCCTTCCTTTGTGCGTGCCCCCAGGCCCATGGACAGCGTGGAGGGCCAGCCTTCTGACACATGCTGGTCTCTATTCTGCAGAAGCCTGCAGACCACTAAGGCCAGGTGTGTCACAGAGTGCTCTGGTTTTGGCCTCAGATTAGGTGCAAGGGAGATGAAGGTGAATCAGACAGACATGGTGCCTGCCCTGAGGAGTGCTCGGGGTAGTTGGGGTGATGAAGAAAACCATAAACGTGGTGTTTTCTGCACTGCAAGTCTTTCTCCTTAGATGGGTTTCTAAGCAGGGTGAAGGGAGCTACCATCCACAGAGCATTGGTAAGGTGCCAGGGATGTGAGGTATGGACACTCTCCTTTATTGTGAGCAAAACTTGGGAGTGACTGCTGCTGTCGTTGGCACAGGAGCCCGGCATCCCTGTGACTGGGCAGATAGGGCTGGTGAGACTACCTGACACAGCTGCTGTTCCAGTGAAGAAGCCCCACGATCCTGGGGGGTAGTGGCACCAACTCCACATGTGGCTCTCCCAGGATCTGAGAGGGAAGGAGCAGCCATGGGGCTGGCAGGTCTTCACTGTAACTGCTTGCCACTCTGTGGTCACATCTGGCCCTTTGGGACTGAGCCAGGAGGTGACAGCTGTGGCGCTGCCGTAGCAGAGTTGTGCCAGGTATGTGGGGAGGTATGCCCTTGCTTTAACTGAAGCCCTGCCAGGCCCTGGGGGAGACAGAAAGCCACTGAAAACTTCAGAAATTGGATGCTGCTTGCTTTCAGTGAAGTTGTTTGCTAATCTCTGAGAATCAAGTGAGGGATATAGAAAGAAGGAGCCCCTGAGAAGCTGAACTTTAGGGCATGTTGGCTGCTTTCTTCAGGCTTGTCTGCATCCTTCTCTGGTAGGGATGTGCCCTCTGGGATTTGCTGCCTGGTTGTCTCCCAGGGACCTGGAATGGCACCCAGGCTATGACAGTAAATGTGTAAGTTCCGAGGAGGAGTTCTCCTTGCATTTTCTAGGTAAGTTTCTAGGTTTATGATAGAGAAAGTAACAAACTCAAGCCTGGCAAGTAGAGGGCCCTGGCTTTGGTGAACAAAGTGCAGTCTGTCCCTGGCTGCGATACTAGATGTGGCCTTTCCTCTGGCAGTGAGTCCTGTGCTGAAGCTCCAGTCTCCCAGGTGGGTGTCAGGCACTGCAGTTGGATATCAGAGCCTTGTAGGTGCAGCCCTGTCCCAGCCCTCAGGCACGGACTTGTTGCTCTCTGATGTATTCTCTTGCTTAGGGAAACAAACAGTAAGTCAGAAAGTCTTTTTGACTCTAAGCTAAATATTCCTGCAGCTAATTTACAAGTCAGGGTTTTTGTTTTATTATTATTTATGAAATGAATCAAGAATAGGAGTAAGAGTTTAAAGTAGCTAGGAAGACTAGATAACTACACCTTCTATAAGAGAAGGTCCTTTTTCTCCTGTAATTTAGAAATTGTTTTAGGTTTCGGTAGCCCCTTTTCCCCTCTTGTGGGCAGCTTGTACTGTCTACCCTTTTGGAATTTGGTTTGTTGGGTGACTGGTAAGACACTGAATCCAGACACCTGTGTTTCCTAGAAATGTGTGTCATTTTCCAAGCCTCCTTTTGTACATACAGACAGCTTCTCACTGACCCCTGACGTAGTGGTGGGGGCGGACTTGTGAGGTACCATTTGGAAGTAGCCAAATTTCTGGTTCCTCTGGTTCCAGAAATACTTCTGTCACCGGATACTAGGCCTGAAGTGCCACCATTAGACCATCCCTCCTCCTACCTAGCAGCCTTTCATGCTCAGACTGGCCCTGTGCGATCAGGGGATGTTTACTCTGCACCCCTACTTCTTAGAGGGGGGTGCTGAGTGCTGCTTTCCCCTTAGCTCACTTAATATGGCAGCTTTTCAGTGTTGGCCCCTGCCCTAGCTGTGTAAGAGGTGTTTAGTTACAATTTACTACCTTTCCTGGAGAGGAGGCTCATATTTAGCATCTCTGCTGGGGAACCATAGTGTAGGCATCCTTAAGGTCTGACCAGGAGTCTCACTTAGCATCTGCCAGGAATCAGGGGTGGATCTTGCTCTCTGCTGAGCTGTCTCTAGCCTCCAGGTGGATTTACTTTCCAGCATACCACAGCTTAGGTAGGCAAAGCTAATGCTGGGCCAGGGGTGAACTCCTGCTGTTGTCACTTCCTTGGGCAATCCTATACTTTAGCATTGTTTATCCTGTTTTCCCCAAAGCATCTTTGAACTCAGGCCTTTCACTGTAGACTATCTTTCTGGCCTGTTGTGCTGAACCTGTGGTTTCTGTAAGTGGCTGGTTGGGCCCCATCACTTGTTTAGAAGACAGGTCTCCTAAGGTAGCTATAATTAGGACAACTGCACTTCCAGGAATAGTGAGGCTGATGGGCCTGGGCCCATGCTCTGACCATTAGCTCCATGCCCATGTCCTGTCTTCCTGGAGGATCAGAGCCCGTGGGACTTGGCTTCCATCTAGGAAGGAAGTAGGAGGTGTGGCCAGTCTAGACTTGAAGCCCTAACAGTAGGCTTCCTTGACACCAAGGAGTGAGGTAGCCCTGCTCAGCTGTGGCCCTTGTTGGGCTTCAGGGTCAGGAGTGTAGGTGGCTACATGGAGAAGCATAGTTGTGGATAGAAAGCCTTTTTTTGCTGGACGGTTAACGCATATAACATTGGACTCCTGACTGTAGCTTACTGTTGTCTGGTGATGGCCAACTAGTTTTTAGAAATCTTATTTAAATATCTATCATGTAGCTATTTACTATGTTTTTTTCTGAATACTCAAGTGTAAATAGTATAATTTGCAGTTCAAAGTCCTAGGCAATAACTTTGTTGTGTATTACGTTAAAAATCATTGGAAACCGTGACCACCGTGGATTGTCCTTCCCCTCTGGGGCAATGATTACATGTAGGACTCTGAACTTTAAAACCTTCGGCGTGGTTGAAGCAGCAGCCTGCATTCGTGGACTGTCATCAGTGCCTCGCCCAGAGATGCCTGGCCTTCATCCAAAGGGACCCTGCTGCCCCGACTCCTGCAGGCAGCACCCACACTGTGGCTTCATCGTGCTGAGTATGTTGGACTCCGCCATAGACTGACCCTCCTGTCTGGCTGCTGCAGTTTGTCTGTAATGCCCTGACATGTTGCATTTTCCCCATTTGGATGAATAAAAATGCTTCTGTCCTAAATGGTAATGGGCTGAACTGTTCTGTGCATGACCCACTCTGGTAAAATGAAGGGTCTGGGCTCGGTGCCTATAGCTCAACCGGCTAAGGCGCCAGCCACGTACACCTAAGGTGGCGGGTTCGAATCCCCAGCCTGGACCCGCCAAACAACGATGGCTGCAACCAAAAAATAGCCAGGCGTTGTGGCGGGCGCCTGTAGTCCCAGCTACTTGGGAGGCTGAGGCAGGAGACTCGCTTGAGCCCAGGAGTTGGAGGTTGCTGTGAGCTGTAATGCCACGGCACTCTACCCAGGGGGACAGCTTGAGGCTCTGTCTCCAAAAAAAAATAAAAAGAAAAAAGAAGGGTCTGGCTTTTATAAAAATTTGTTCAAGTGTGGGGCCCCCTTTTACAGGCCCTTAAGACTCTTGGTCAGTACCTGTTACTTCCCCTCATGCAAACGGTTGAGGTTGAGGAAGCTTGCAGGAGGGGTAGCATGGCTGCTAATAATGGCCAGTGATTTGAGGGGTGAGGCCAGCACCTAATTCATGCTTTTGTCTGTGGTCTTTCAACTTTGTTTCTCTGTAAAGTGTAAATGGTGCAAAAGTTTACTCATGATGAAACTTTAACCTGGCAGCTTCGCACGGAGAGCGTTAAGCTACCTGTGTAGGTTAAGGGAGTGCTGAATCCTAAACCTCAGAATTTACCAGGAGCTTTTCACACACCTCAGTCTTAAACCTCACACCTGTTCCAGGGTCTGGTAATAGCCAGATATTACAGATGAGGAAACCAAGGCTCCGAGTCAAAGGACCCTGCCCAAGGGTGTAGAGTTTGTAAATGGTGGCAGCAATTGGAATCCAAAGCCAAAGCTATTCTTCCTGCTCCTAGCCTCCCTGTGACATGCCTGCAGTTGAGCTGCCCACCTGGAAGAATGAGGACAAGGAAGGTGTGGCTGGCCCAGGGTGGTGGTCTGGGAGGGAGCCAGGCCTGAGGTTGATGCTGCTACCTCCAGGTAAGTAAAGAGCTGTGTGGACAACTTCACTGGGGTTTTATGCCTTTCAGTCTGGATTTAAAACCATACCAAAAATGACCTAAAGACAAGCTGGCTGGGCTCGCTCTCTGCTGTTCCCATTTTCATTCCAAGGTTTGCCTTTCTGAATGAAGAATAGACAGGCTTTCTTGTCTATACCTGGCACAGGGCTCAGCCCACAGAAGAACAGCTTGATGAGGTCTCACAGCCAGCCAGAGGGAGAGAAAGGAGGAAGCATTGTTTTTCTTGATCTTGGGCCCTGGAAGAGAAGGTGGAAGCAGGACATGGTAGGAGAGACTGAATTCTGAGATGGTGTAGCCACAGGCAAGCCTTTCACTTTTATTTTCAAATCTGGGAATAACATTTAATTCATAGGGTGTTCTGACAGTTGGAGGTAGAAGAATGTATGAGAAGAGGAGAACTCAATAATTCTCATGAGATGGGCATTGAACCCATTGCCCAGAGAAGGAATACAGCTGGGCTTGAACCCTGTGTTGCTTATAGCGAGGCAAAGTGCTATGACAGTTTATACCTACCTTTTGTCCACATGGTCATCTTAAGGCAGAAGGTGGCTAGTGGACTAAGTGTTCATGCCTGTTGTTTTGGGAGTGTCTCCGTCTTTCTCTGTGGTTCCTATCTTCACATCCATCCTCTTCAGGTCCCCTATACTCTTATCACCCCCAAATCAATCTTAGAAGAGGATTTTAAGTCCCACTGTCAGAATCAGGCATGTGTCTGAGCAATGACATGACTCTCTCCCAGGCCACAAGGGGCTCATTATTATCTTCTGCATAAGCTCTGGTTTCACAATTGTCAGGTCAGGTCAGGTCAGACCTGGTGATTGTGCTCTGAGCTCTTGGGGCTGGTACTTCTTGCCATTCTGAGCCACCTCCTCCCTGCTGAGAATTATTACCAAGGCCCTAGAGATCAGCTCGGGTTGTAGCAGAGCCTGCCAGGCAGACAGTCCACGCAGTCTGTATGTCTCACTGACATTGCAAGCAGCCCTAAGTCAGGGGCAACACATACCCAAGGTCAGAAACAGACTATGAGTTTCCCAACACAACTGTTCTTCCTGCAACTCCCTTCCAACCACTGGCCTTATCTGCCCGCTTCCCTCACAGCCAGGCTTCTTAAAATCTACACCTGCCTATCTGACCTTCCCCCCAAAACCCACTATGGTGGGCCACTGTTCCATCACCCTACCAACCTCTAAATCCAGTGAGCCTTTTCTGTCCTCCCCTCATTCCCAGGTAGCTCATAATCTTCTCTAGTCATTCACACTCCATTTTTGGAGTCCCTTCTCTTGCTGCCTTTCTTGGACAGTCCCTCTGTTCCCCCTCAGCTTGTTACAGCAGTGGTTTTCAGGCAGGAGTGATTTTGCCACCCAGGGAATGTGCAGCAATACCTGAAGACATTTTTGGTTGTGACAGCTGGGGTGGAGTGTGTGCTGCTGGCATCCCGCAGGTAGAGAGGCAGGGGGTGCTGCTGAGTAGCCCTATTGCCCAGGACGAATGACCAAACCAACTCTTGAGAGAGTGCAGATCGCTAACATCTCTAACCTGCATGTCCCAGGCTATCTCGGTTGCACACATCAAAAGTAAATTTATCTTTCTGGCATGCCTTGCTCTCACCAAGTTTTACTGCCTCCATTCTTAGCCTGTTCCCTTTTCATCTGTCACCTCTGTTCAGCCCCTAATTTCTCTTCCGGTATTTCTTCCTAAAGGATTGGCAGGGAGTCTCTCAAAGTAGAAGTTGGCTTAAAAGACTTTCCCCATCACCTGCAAACCCTCTGGCATTGGCCCCACCCTGATTACCCAGTCTTATCTCTTTGTCACCCCACCCTAAGCAGATTATGATGCTAACAACTATTCCTCCCACCTAAAAGCTGTCCTCTTGCTTCCCTGCCCAGCACATCCCCTAGCTGTCAGCACAGATAGCTGTCACGGCCATTTTGTCTCCCTCGTGGTACATTTCCATGTCCCCACAGGGTCCCCTCTATCTGCACAGTACTCACCATCCGCTAGTGGAGTTTCTCTTCTCAGTCTCAATCTCCATATTCCCAGGGGACTTCCCCCCAAACAGGTCACTGCTCTGGGTCATTTTAGGCCTGTGTGCCAAGGCTTAGAGGTACCTGGACTCCTTTCTCTGAGCCAACACACAGCTATAAGGATGATGATTTCTGCTGAGAACCTACACTCCTGAGCATGGGACCCTTGGGACTAGAAATGGAACAGGCTGGATCCCAGAAGTACACCCTTTAGCCTGGGAGCATCCAAAGGACCCTGACGTCAACCATGCTCTGGAGCCACCGTCCTGGACCATGACAGGGCAGGGGCCCACTCACCATCCTCCCTTCTCGCAGGCATGAAGCCATGGTCTGCATGCCAGCCTGTTCCCACTCAGCCGTTGGGTGGAGGTGGAGTCCTGGAGGACAGGTCAAGCTGGGAAGGGGAACCATAGAGTTAGGGCAGCTTCACTCTTCTTCCTGCTGCAGAGAAGGGGGTGGGGATGAAGTGGTAAGGAGTAACAGTAGAGGCCTGGGAGCTCCATCCCTGTGGTTCAGGAATGTGAAAGGACCAGCAGTGAAAATAAAGGGACTCAAGATGTAGCTCTTTGTCATCATTTTTCCTAAAGATTTTAACAAAGCATACCTAAGCCCCAGGTAATGGGGGCTTTTTCCCACTCTTCAGCTAGTTCCCCAGCACACTGACATTTTGGCCCTGGACCTTTCTCTCCCATCTCTGCCCAGTGAGATGCACAGAGACATGAGAGCTGGGCTTGCTGGTTCATGCCTGTAGTCCTAGCTACTTGGGAGCTACTTGGGAGGCTGAGGTGGGAGGATCACTCCATTGTGGGCAACATAGCAACCCCATCTCTTTCTAAAAAACAATAATAAAGAGCAGATTTGGTCTTCCCCAAGTCAAAGCTTGGGGGAGTCAAAGTTTCTCAACCCACATGGCATAGCACACCTTACCTACTCCATCTGTGCCTAAATGAGTAGTCTTCTCTGACTCTGCTTCTGTGTGTGGGAAGGCAGTGGAGAGGGGGAGAAAGGGAGGAACAGAGCACATAATGATAAAACTAGTTTTTCAAAGCAATACTGTTTCTACCAAAATATTTAATGAATATGCTGTTAAAATAAAACCAACAAAAGAAATAGTAATACAATTTTACTGGTTTATATTTCAATTCATAAAGTTGACACACTGAAACTACCCTAGCACAATGTCCACGTGCCTAGCATTGGACGGGCTTACAGCTGTTTGGTAACTGAACGCAAAAGACATAGAAAGCAGCAGAGGGGACCGTGTGGAGGGAGGGGGTGCCACTTTAATCTCCTGTATCACAGATGACCTCAGCAAGCATTAGTACAGCCAACAAGAAGAAGAGCTACAAAACAACCCAAGTGTCTTTATATACAAACCAGTGCCTCCTATAACCAGCCACCTCCATACTGAGCACAGAGACAAGGACAAGACCATCTGCGAGTCAGCCTGTCAGTATGTTACTACATAAATTAAGTCAAAGGGTTTTTCCCCCTGCAAAGGAAAACATGTAGCCTGTCTGAACAGGGAGGTCTGCACCCAGCTATACTCCGGGGAGGGCCTGGGGCACAGTCAGTCAGGGAAGGACCAAGCCAGGAGGGAGGATGGACACATCAAGGCACGTGCATCCTGCTCATGTTTACAGATGCACAGCTCAGTCTTTGTCAGTTGGACAGCCTCTTGTGCAAAAACACTAAAAATCGTGAAGTGAGAGAGCTCTTCACAACGCCTGCAAAGTCAGGGAGGAGAGCAGAACCCAGCAAACCTTGAGTCAAGTTAAGTGCCCAAACATCCACATCATTAAATTATGCAGGTCAGCAGTCTTAGTCTGGGACTTCAACACTGTCAGCTGGGTATCTATCGGGAAAGATATATATACACACGCGCGCACACACACACACACACACACGACACATTAAGCAAAATAAGATTTGTCCACATTATGATTAATC